CTCCATCACTGAAGCAAGCAAGCCTCATGTTAGTTTCAAGCTGCCTGGCTGCCGGCTGCCATCTTGGCTGGCAGTTAATTTGCATATTGCGCTGGTTAGCCAATGGGAAGGGTAGCGGTCATATGCCAATTACCATGTTTCTCTTTTATTAGATAGGATTTTATTCTTTTAGTAAAATGATTTACTCATGAGGAAAATCTTTTTGCTAAACAGCTAGAAAACTCTGCTGAAATAGAAATACCTGCAAAAACAGCTCATGACCCGAAGCACTCAGTGGGTTTGCCAACAGAACTCAGATCTGAAATGAAGACAAAATCAGAATTTACCTCAGGTTTGTTTGGATAATTCAATTTTGTTTTTATTATTTCTTTAAAAATTTTATGATTATATAATTATTAGTTTGAACTTATTTATGTTTTTCCGTATTTTTGTTTCTCATATCTGTAGTCTGTATATATTTTTAGGGTATGAAATATTCAGATACCTGGGATTATTCTTATTGCGACAGATAGTTCATAATACAGATCTGTTCACTGGGGGTATAGAGTAGCACTGGCAGGTTGGATGAGTGAAGCATTGAATATCACTTTATAAATGTGAGCTTTTTAATCAGGGGAAGTAAAATGTACTTTTCTTACTCTGTCAATTTATAGGCTATAAATATGAGCCACATCTACATAGAAGGAATATCAGCTTTCCATTTCTATTGTTATTTATCCCATCAGCAGTCTTGGCTTCCACCATCAGTTTTATTTAGTTTAGATACCAGGAGAACTTTCAACATCAAATTGTAAAAATAGCACCAATTATAATACTAATAATTTTGCTAGTATTAGATAATGACAAGTAGTACTTTGTGGTACAAGTTAGTGACAATTATACTTTCTACGCAAATACTATAATAGTTTTACTGTGATCAATGAGAAGGTAACAGAGTGTTTAAAGCATTTTAATATGTATTCACATAAATTCACCAATCACTAGCTTACATAGGTTTGTCTATCTGTACAGTGTCAATGGTACTACCCATTAAGTTGTTTTACTGCAAAGGAAATAGGACCAACTCAAAGGTAAAGAATTAGGAAATAATGATAATATTTCATTATTCAGGTGCCCTTATTGAGTACCTTCTCTGTTGTGCAAAGAGCTGTAAATATATTGTGATATTCAATACTCACCCAAAAACAAAACAAAACAAAAACCTCTGATGTATTTGTAATTGTAATCAGTTTATGATGAAGAGACCGAGACTCGGGGAACTTAAAAGTACCTTCCCCAAAATCGTACAGCTTATGAGGAGCAGAGTTGTGTTTACAGATTAGATCTACCTGACACCAAAGTTCAAGATCTTTCCATTGTGTACAGAGTAGCTAATTTAAAACCAAAGTTTAGTTTCTGATTTCAGCCTCTTCCTTTCTCATTTAATCTTTATAAAAGCTGTTACTGAGTAACAAACCTGATTTGTTTTACACTTTTCCTCTGTCACCTCTCCTTTTCAATCAAAATGACGTACAGTTCTTACACTCTCCCTGAGTCATCTACAGTCGATCATATTTCCACAAGTATATAGTATATCAGGTCATTTTCTAAGTGCCTGTCAATTCCAGAGTATCTTTGTGAAGTTGAAACATGTCACAGTTTAACAGTGGGACCAATCCATCCCTAACCAATATAGCTTAGTATTTTAGTTACTAAATACACCTTTAAAGTATCTGTGTATATGAAAGTATCTGTGTATATGAAAGTATGTGTGTATATGAAAATGACTAATGAAAGATTGAAAGATAAGTGAATTTATTTCTCTATTGGCTGGCACTGGGGTATGCAGTTTATATCTATCTATCTGTCTATCTATCTATCTATCTATCTATCTCTATCTATCTATCTATCTATCATCTATATATTCTGGAACCCTTTACCTGCCTCCATGGGTAACTTGGTATATGAAAAGCATTCTAAAGAGACATGTAGAGGAAAGAGATATTCCAATACCATTCATCCTTATTACATATCATTCAGAGTTGATTATGCAGTAGACCCTTGTGATTCACCATTTCCATCATTCTACTTTTCATGTGCAGTTCCAAAGGTCTAAGACCTGAGAAACAGTAGTGATTATAAGCACAAATTTTAGAATAAAACATGGGTCTGAAATCCTCAAACCTCAGTCTCTTCATCCATAAATTGGGGACCATAATAGTGTTTTTCTCACATAGTTGTGAGAATTAAATGCAATATTGCATGTAAAGCACAAAGTACAATATCAAGCACATACTAATCTCTCCATGAGTGTTAGAAGGTATCATTGTCATCTGACTACTGTAATTAGCCATTTGCCAATAAACAAATTTATTTTCATTGAGCATAATTTTGGAGCATGTTAATTAGCTGGGGAAACTAGTCATGGCCACTATGTATCAACTTACAGAATAGATTGGGTGAACTCTCTATATAATATATATAATATATAACATATTATATATATATAATTTTCATAGCTCAGATATGAGTTTGAGTTTGTTTGTTTGTTTTTCCTATCATCCATATATATTTATGGTGAAAATTGTGTTATTTTGGAAATCACAAATTTGGAAATTTGGTGACACTGACCTCTCTAAAATCTGATGAAAGCAGGGTAAAATCTCTCATTATCTACAGGATTAATGTCACTCTAAAGCACATATTGCTCACCACCTATTTTTTGTACATTTCACAAGCCATAAATGGTTTTTACATGATTTAAATGGTTGAAAAAATCAAAATAAAACTCTTTCTTGACAAGTTAAAATTCGAATCTCAGTGACCGTAAATAAAATTTTGTTGAAACATAGCCACATTTGTTCATTTGTGTATTATCTGGCTGCTTTCACACTGCAATGGCAGAGTTGAGTGATTGCATTGGAAACCTTATGGTTTACAAAGTCGAAAATAGTTACTCTGTGGCCTTTGCAGAAAAAGTTTGCTGATTCCTAATTAAGAGGGATGAAGTGTTCCGTGCATACATAACACATTTCCCTCCTTATGATATTTGCCAGGTATTTTTATGGACCAGGAAACTAAGTAGCCAATATCAAAACCGCTGAAAGTCAAAACTGAATTTGCTACAGCTTTTTAGTGCAAGGGAGACAGAAAGTCCCCAGGCTTTCAATACAGCTTGGGGGTGCCATACCTGAGGAATAGAGAGGAATCAGAGGTTGACTGGGTTACTAAAACTACAGCTCAGTTCAATGCGTGATTGGCTTGAGATGATAAGCTCTTCACCCTTCCTAAAAGAGGGAAAGGTAGAAAATACCATGTGGAGTTTCTCCAGTTCTTTGATACAGTAGCCACCATACAAACAAAATACTAGTCATATAAAGAGGCAGGGAGATATACCTGACAATCAAAAGAGGAAAAAAATAACAGACCCACAAGTGATCTAAATATTGAAGTTAGCAGAAAACGACTTTAAAGTAACTGTGATCAATATCTTAAATAGAAAACACAATGAACAAAATGGATGAAAGGATTGAGAATTTCACAGAAAAATTGGTATCTATTAAAAAATCAAGTATATATTCCTGAAGTGAAAAATTTAGTGCCTGAAATTAACTCATTGGATGGGCCTCACAGCTGACTAAATGCAGGAGTGAACAAAAATGGGTTTACAGTTGAGAGTGTGGAAAACACAGTTTATTCTTATATTATTATTACTTGCTAATTATTGTATTATTTTTTCATACTAGCAACTGTAAACCTACTTTTGCTCACCCCTGTACAAGGGAGGACAGAAGTAATGAACTCAAATAGAGGTCAGTAGAAAAGAGACCAACTGAAGCAGAGAGAGCAAAAAGAATGGGAAGACTAGAACAAAGTATGAGAAAGTATTTTGTAGTGACTAGTATGTTTATGTATTCCAATTACTGAGGACCTGAATGCTGGATATCATTCCAATTTTATACAAAAGAAACAAAAACAGAATTCCTAACACTTTTAACTTCACTCAGCAATTTATTACTGATCTGTCCCATTTTGTGTAATATAAATGAGATGATATGTAAACTAAATTATTAGTCAACAGATATCACTAATGGCTATTTGTGACAATAACTCATCGCTGTTTTAAAATTTTAAACATCTTTATTCCTTTCCTGTTTTAACACTTTTTTTAAAGCCTGCTAAAAATTTTATGCATAAAGTGTTTCTTATTAGAGATAAAAAATAAGGAAGTACAAAGAAACACATTATAATGATGGAGATTAAGATTCAAGATGACTTTTATGACGGCTAATCCTTTGGGAGGATAGAGAACCCTTGATCAGTTCAAGGGATGAAGAAATTTATAAGAGAGGAGATATAAGCCTTAATTACTCAGAAAATAATGAGAATGAATCTTTTTAAAAAGCAGGAATAAAATTACATAGGCTAACTGGTTCTAAACCAGAGGGATCCACATCACAATTATTTGACTTTTTGTTTTGTTTTCTAAAATTCACTCAAACTAAGAATATAATTCAAAATCTCCAGTGGTGAGGCCTCTAAGCAGGTGATTATAGGAAAAGCTCCATAGGGCAGTGATAGCGAACCTTTTGAACTCGGCGTATCAGCATTTTGAAAAACCCTAACTTAACTATGGTGCCGTGTCACATATAGAAATTTTTTGATATTTGCAACCATAGTAAAACAAAGAGGTGTATTTTTGATATTTATTTTATATATTTAAATGCCATTTAACAAAGAAAAATCAACAAAAAAATGAGTTTTTGTGTGTCATCTCTGACACGGCGTGTCATAGGTTCACCATCACTTCCATAGGGAATTCTCAGTGCATATTCCTCTATTTAATAATGTCTGACATAAACTATAGGTAAATTAAAAATTTGAAACCTGTCAACAAATTTTGAGAAGTGGCAACCTAAAGGTAAAGGGGCTTTTCAAATGTATGTGAGCTGAATCTTTGACTAGACTTTGGACAAGAATATAAATTGAGAAAATAAATAGAAGTGTTAGAGAACTTAGTCAGTTTATGGCATTTTTTAAGCAAATTAGATACATTCAGACTTATATAAAATATTTGTTATATGTTTATTATAATATGCCTGATTAAACTATTTCCCAGTACACATTTTACTGGCACCGAGCAAAGGCTGCCACAAGATGGCAATAAAGATACATTTGGGAAGGGAGCAGAGAGAACCACTTAACGTTTTTTGTATGCTATGGACCTCTTCTCAGAATATGTTTTTTAATGAATTAAATAAAATACATAGTAATATATTACCTTCCTTAAATGTATTAACCAACAATGTATAACAAAATATCTAATAAACGCCATAGTTTTGAAGTTGTTGTAAGTGTAAATATTTTAAGATAACTACAACTGCAGTGTGATATGAAAATATCTGTGATTTCTATTAGTGACAGAATCTAAGATACTGTTAATATTATTTTGGTTGGTTTCCTACATTCATTATTAAAGTAAATGTCAATTTTTAATCAGAGGTTAATGAAAGTAAAGATAAATTCCCCCCATCCAAACTCATAGATCACACGAATTCTATACACAGACCCCCTAAACTTAAGCACTGCATTCTATGGAAAACTGTATTAGTTCCATGGGTAGTGATTACTAATGATCTAGGTGTTTGTAATACTTTTGCTGGTGAAGTTACATATAGGTATATCATTTTTCTAAAATGACAGGGGTAAAATAAATCATTGTATATACATTTATTTCTTATATTTTTTTAAAATATATTTTATTGATTTTTTACAGAGAGGAAGGGAGAGAGATAGAGAGTTAGAAATATCGATGAGAGAGAAACATTGATCAGCTGCCTCCTGCACACCTCCTACTGGGGATGTGCTCGCAACCAAGGTACATGCCCTTCACCGGAATCGACCCGGGGACCTTTCAGTCCGCAGGCCGACGCTCTATCCACTGAGCCAAACCCGTTTCGGCTATTTCTTATCTTTGTTTTCACCATAAAACTGGAAATTAAATGTTTGGGGGGAGGGAAGGTGTATTTCCAAAATGTAGTAAAATCATTTAAAAACCAATCAGATTTTGAAAAAAATATTTAAAATAAAAACTTTCTAAAAATATTTTTTTCTGATGTCACAAAGAAAATATAAAAGTAGTTCTCTCTTGCCTACTTAACATGCACAGAGTATTATATATAGAACTTTGTGCACATTATTATATTGAATACTAAAAATAATTATATGACATTGTTCCTCCTCTAATCTCCATTTACTGAAGAGCTAGGGTTTGTTGTGTTGGGGATCAGGTAAACCTGGCTTCATTCGTTACTCCACCACTTATCAGCTGAGTGACATTGATCAAGTTTCTTAACATCTTTAAATTAAAATTTCCCTACCTGTAAAACAAATATAAATGTATCATCTATCTCTTGGTGGTGTTCAGAGACAATGCATGAAAATAACATAGCATCCTGCCTGGCACACAGTCAGCTGATCAAAATCACCAGTGGTATACACATTGCCAAATCCAGGAATCCATTCTCAGTCCCACCTCATGAAGTCCATCAGTAGCTTTTAACACAGGTTATTACTCCCTCCTCCTTGAAACGATCTCTTCACTTGGCCTTTGGGATACCACTTGCTCTTGGTTTTCTTACTTCACTAACTGGCTGTTCCTTTTCAGTCTTCTCTGCTATATTTTCCTAATCTTCTTAACTTCAAAAAATTGGAGTATCCACATGGCTCAATGCTTAGAGCTCTTCTCTGAGGCTCTAGATCAGTGGTTCTCAACTAGTGGGTCGCGACCCCTTTGGGGGTCCAACGACCCTTTCTCAGGGGTCGCCTAAGACCATTGGAAAACACATATATAATTACATATTGTTTTGTGATTAATCACTATGCTTTAATTATATTCAATTTGTAACAATAAAAATACATCCTGCATATCAGATATTTACATTATGATTCATAACAGTAGCAAAATTACAGTTATGAAGTAGCAGCGAAAATAATTTTATGGTTGGGGGTCACCACAGCATAAAGGGTCGTGGCATTAGGAAGGTTGAGAACCACTGATCTAGATGATCTCATGTAGTCCCATACTGCATTTAGGCTACGATTGTGAAATTTATAAACCAGCCCAGACCTCTCCTGAACTCTATAGATTCACATTGCTAGCTGCTTAGTCAACATCTCTACATCTTTAGATGACTACTTAATTCACATTTAACATATCCAAAGCTTAACACTTCATTTGCCTTGCCCCAAATATGCTTCTCCCACATTTCCCCCTATCTCAATAAATGTCAACTCCATTCTTGCAGTTTTCTAAGTTACAGTCTCTCTCACACAACATACTAATCCATTTAGGAAATCCTGTCATTTTACCATAGGACTTTCTCCATAACCCAGTCCCTTTCTGCCACCTTCACTGCTACTGCCCTGATTAAAGCCAATAGCATCTTTCTCCTGGTGTACTGAAATAGCTTCCTAAATGGTCTCCCTTCTTTCACCCTTTTCCCCCTATAGTCTCTTCTCCCCATAGCTAAGAGTGATCTTCAAAAAAACCATATCATGCCACTCCTCTGCTCAAAACTGCCTAGTAGCTTTTCTTATCACTTAAAATAAAGAAAAACCTATTATGGCCCTTTGTGTCGTAGCATTCCATTGTTTTCTGAACATGTCTCTTATCACTCTCATTGCACCCACCATCACCACATCTTGCCACCTCTGTTTCAGCCCTATTGGCCATTTTGTGGTTACTCAGACATGCCTCAGGTATATTATACTTGCTCTGTTCTCCGCCTATAAGTCATTTCCCTAAGATATCTACAGGCTCACACCCTTATCTCCTTCAATTACACTTTTCTAGAAACATTTCCCTGGCCACCCTATTTAAGATTGCAAATTACCTAGGCACTCCATATGCTCCTCCTGTTTTATTTTTCTATGTAGTGTTTACTGACATATTATTTATTTTACTTAATTCTCGGTTTTACCCAACTTGAATGCATTTTTTTGGTTGATTTTTCTTTGTTAAATGGCATTTAAATATATTGGGGGAGATTTTTAACTTTTCCCCCCACTTATGTATTCCTAGTACCAACAATGAATTGTTGAATGAATGACTAATTTTTTTTTCATTTTGATACTTTACCAGGTGCTACACAGTTTATGCCTGACCCCAAGCTCATGGATCATGGACAGTCCCATCCAGAAGATGTAGATATGTACAGCACTAGAAGCTGAAATAGTCTACATAAACAATTACAAATGATAATGAAAGAAATGTAATGGGTAATTGTGATGCATAGAGCATAACTTAAAGCAAATTTATCCCATACATCTTCTAATGTATGGTTTGACCAATCAAGTAAGTGATTAAAACACAAACAGAAAATACAATCGAAACAATATTAAATGATTGGTGAAGTGGCAGAGGTAGTAGTATTAAGATGCATTTGATGACTTAAGGGTGTTTATAAACAAAAAATAGATTAAATATGTGAACAATTAATGAGACTAAGATCTGAAAAAATATGTATGTAGTTATGCAAACATATGTTTGCTTTAGCTTTTTCTCACTATCAATTCCCAACTGGTGACATTAATGTCAGCTAAATTAGAATGGTTTGTGAAGGATAGATTCTCTATCCTTCTCTTTTTTCATTTCCCAGAACAGGAATAAAATATCCATATTTTATGACACTTGGGATTGGCTTTGTCTCTTTGTTTTATTAATGTTGACTTCTCTTAGATGTCCAAAAACACCTGTAACTATTTAGGAAGACCATATGCTCCATGGGACCTCCGATACTGCTTAGCAGACTTCCTACCGGTTCCTAGGTGGTTTCCTATTCTGTTCTCCAGGAGAGGTTATTACAGACCTTTTATTCTCAATTTTCCTATACCTGCCAAAGATGACTGTGTTTCCTATTACATGGAGGGGAAAAAAACAACATAAGTTATTAGTCATGACCATTCACAACTTTTTCCCATCTACCTTTAAGACTTACCTCTTTTCAGCCATGTCATCCCCCTTTCTAAGGCTAATGCTTCTATTTGGGTTCCTGTTCTCATTCCTTCTGTTTTTTTTTCCAGTACCATGTTATATCTTCAGCCTTTGGTTTCTCTTTTCACTCAGTTATTCCTCCTCAACCTCTAAATAGCTTCTGATCTTCTTTATCTAAAAAACAAACAAACAAAAACAGTAACAAAAACTTTTCCCTAACCTTGCCTTAATTCTTGAGCTACCTTCTCTAATTGTCATATTTCATTAAAAAGTAATTAATGTCACTTTCTTACTTCGTCACTATCAATTCTTAACTTATGACATCCTGACCTTTATACTTACTTGCATTTTCTGTAATTATTCACTATTCACCGACCACTCCCTCTTTGAAACATTTTTTTTGTCTGTGCTCTCTTTGTGAGGGTGTCCTCTGGATTACTTTCTCTTGTTCTGAATCCCTTAAATGCCTAGGCTTCTCAGGTTATATTCGTAGTTTTCTTTTTCTCATTCAATATGCATTCTAATTTTCTTGTTTATTAGTCCTCACCCGAGGATATATTTTCTAGTTACCGTATTTGCCGGCGTATAAGACGACTGGGCGTATAAGACGACCCCCTAACATTTCCACTCAAAATACAGAGTTTGTTATATACTCGCCGTATAAGACTACCCCCTCTTCCGCACACCTTCCACACACCAAATAAAAGGTAAAACAATATCAGATTTGATTTTAACATTTTAATTTATATTCAAATGCTTATGACATGCAGGAAAACTGTCACAAGGCTGTATGTAATCAAACATATACATAAAACAGTGCAAGTTTATTACCGGTAAACATACCGGTAATTCACTAAAGAAAACACACTCTATAGACTGGTACCGTAGATGCTTCTCAGGAACACAGGCAAGCAGCCCACAACCTAGAGGGACTGTCAATGATAGAAGAAAGAT